CTGTTCAGTCATGGTATCAGCTATGGCAAGGAGGATGTCTAGTGAATACACATTGTATTAAACGTATCATAGGCTTCAAACACAATTTTGCTGACAAATTAACTTTAAAAAACTAAAAGCTATAGTGACTATTATTTCTGTGTGATAAGTGATTTTTCGTTCTCTCTGAGATATTGCATATTGTTTGTTGTATCCTATGTGATGTTTTGACATCATTACGATGCTATGACTTTTGTTTGTCCTGTTTTTAAGTTGGATTTCATGCATAATGCAGGATCTCGCAGTATATGGAAATATTCTATTGCTGACTAACTATTGATTTTTTTTACAGTATGGTATACTATTATTTGTTGTTCTGATTGCTGAGTTGGCTGCTGGTATATCTGGTCTGGTCTACAGAGAACCAGTAAGTCAACTGTAATTCTATTTACGATTACTATACACAATAAACCTATTCCCGATTTTGAATATTTATAAATTTCACACCTCGTATGGAAGTGAGATATTTCTATTAGCCGATAGAATAACATTAAAACATTTTCATTACATAAATTTTACTCCAGCATAATTTATTAAATGTAAAATACTATACTATTGTAAACAAATTATATCCTAAAACAGTCATGTAAACAAGTAAACCAATTGAATGTATAAAAGAGCAGGGAGTGCAGCAAGTTGAGTGACATAACTGGATAAAACATGTCATTGTCATTTATATTTTAATACTGCAGGATGAGTATGTTATTTATTTGAACACAGCAATTTATACTGCTAAACACATAACGTGCCTGGCCAAGATTTTTACCCCTAACTACACTTTTTTTAAATCTTTCGATGTTGTCACCCGGCTTTCATTTGGGTGTATAATTTTGCCTGGTTCCTGGATTATGTCTATCTTCAGCAGGGTGAAACTGAACAGTGTAATGAATTTACAGTACATCAAATCTTTACATTTGCATCCAATCACAAAATTAACCATTGAGGGATTGAAAATTAGAATCTACACAGAAAACAACCTACCTTGCACACCTTTTTTATTTACCAAGAGATTTTAGGATTTGTTGGTAATTGAATAATTAACATATTTTTCTTTTATTGATTGCCATACGTGCATATTATTATTTTTATGTTTACAGCTTCAGCAAGGATTCCATGATGGCCTGTCAGAAGCAGTGAACGACTACAACAAAGATGGTCATGAATCGGACACTGCTGCTGTTGATGAACTACAAGAAAGTGTAAAAAATAATTTTGTTTTTCTTCTTGTTACATTTGTATTGTGTTATAAAAAATGATTTTAGTATTAATAATTTGTGAGGTTATTATAGTAGAATATTTATCACCTATTGTTTTCTGCATGGTACCTGGTATGCAATATTTGACACATAACCTTTTCACCACCAGTTCTCTATTTTCATCACAAATTCGCAAAATAGTCTCGTTTATAGTAGCAATTAACTTCAGAAAAATAGCCACATTTTTTGAGTAAAAGCTTGACTAAAATTTTGTCTATTGGTTTCTAAAATTAGGGTTCATTTCCAGAAACATGGAAGAATATAAGAAAAAAGTGCAAAAAAGATTTAGGCGGGAAAGTCTGGTGGTGAAAGGGTTGACCAACGACAGTCATGTTTGTATGATTCCTTGGGACTTGTGCTTTAGTTAATAATGTGCCTCTTGAATTTGAACCAGCACTGGCTCGACTCTTTACTGGATAATTAAATACAGCATGCAAAAAATCATTAGCTATAATTTTCATTGAACACTATCGCTGAAAAAGAAAATAGAATCTTTTAAGAGCCATCCAATTACCAGCGACTTAGCCAATATCACGACTTACTGGGGGGCGGCTTAGTGAGAGGTCACTATATTATCAAAGACATTTAATAGTTATTAATCTGATCTAGATGGTAACTTTGTATTATTTTCTAAGGATCAGTACGATTAGATGTAACTGCAATATATGCAGTTATGTATACCTCTTTTGTATACAAAACCAGTTTATTTCAAAATTTGTTAATATTCATATTATCAACTTATTGCAGTTAGAATGTTGTGGTGTTTCAAATTACAAAGACTGGAATAGCACAGATTTCTATCTCTCTGGTGAACCCTCGGCATATCCAGCCAGCTGCTGTGATAAAGAAAAAGCAGAGGATTGTGTGCTCGCTCCCAGTGAAGGCGATGTCACTGTTTACACACATGTAAGTTTTCTCCAAACTGTTTTTATATTCACCATGGTAATATCTTGGCAAAGGATAAACCAAGAATTTATTCTCAAATGCAATTATAGAAAAGTTACATTGCATGTGTGGATAATTATACATCAGGAAGGTGGAAATATAAACTAGAATACAAACCCATTCTCTTCATCATTGTGGATATTTATAAATTTTAAAATTCAACCTGAAATGGGAGTTTCTATTGGCTGGTTAGATTCAACTGCTATTGAAATTTATAAATATTTATAAAGATGAAGGGAGAAGGTTTGTTGTGCTGAGAGAATAGCCAATAGTCTAAGTCTGTATGCATTCAGTAAACTTTGTATGTTATCATCTTTTGTATTTTTTTTTAAAAAGTTGTTAAAATTTATGTATATGTAATGCTGTGTTAATGTTGACTGTTATAGTAGTGTTATACTTGTATCTCTTATAGTGGGTCACAAGAACAGATACTATAAAGTTGCCTATCACTTTAAAATGAGAATTAATTGCTTAAATTAGTTCTTTCTCGTATTGTATGTCATGCTTGTGCACAGGTAACCATTGACCTCTACTCATGAAAGCTATTTTCTTTTCTAGGGCTGCTATAAAAAAGTTGCTTCGTTTATGGATAAAAATATGGTTATCATTGGTGCTTGTGCAATGGGAGTGGCTTTCTTCCAGGTATTTATAGCTGTCTGATTACATTGCACAATAAAAATCATCTGTTAGGCTTTCCTGGAGTCATGACATTTTTGAAACTTGTTCCTCACTTGTTCAAGAGGCTTAGACTACTGTAAATCTATAATTGGTTCATGAAAAATTAATTATTTTTAACGGCTGAATTGTTGGGAAAAAAAACAGTAAAACTTATTAATGGATGAATTATTGGAAAAAAAACTGCATTAGTGAAAGAAATATCACAGAAATACTCAAAAGTATAGCTAGCTTCATTTCATGTTGATAGGAAAAAAACATTGAGATAGATTGATAGCGTCTGTACAGTGTCAGGTGGCCTACAAGTGATATTATTATAAATGTGACTATTTACCAATATTCACTACATAGGGGAGCCATCTTAAGTTTGCCCGCAAAAAGAACAAACAAAACATCTGCCGGTCCAATATTCACTGACGGTATACTGTAATGGGGTTAATTATTCACTGGGTTTTAATTTTGCTTATTTCGCTGACTGGAAAATTTGCTAAATTAAAACCCAGTGAATATGTGAAATTTAGCATAGAACACATTATCTAAATGATGAAACTGTGAATTTAAAACCCACTGATTAGGCCTGAAATGGTAAATCAGCAAAATTTAAACCCAGCGCAAATTAGTCATTTTACAGTATTTGGGGGTGGGGGAAAGCCATCTTGAATTTGCTTGAATCTGAAAAAAAAATTTAAAATCAAGAGATGATGAGATGTGTTATGCATTTTAGAATAGTAACCCATGCCAGTATTCAAAGCACATGACATGTGTATTGTAAGGAGAAAAAAAACAACAACTTTAAAACCTGGTTTTTATTGTTCTCTCAATAGGTGTTTGGTATTATTCTTGCCTGCTGTTTAGCGAATGTCATCAACTCAAACAAGTACGAGATGGTGTAAAACTAGGTGCTGCCTAACTCGGTAGCCATTACAAATACTGGAAAAGCAGTAATTATAACTGTGATTTCTCTTTCACTGTGTTTTAGTTTTAAGAGTGTCGATAGGTTTTAGATCTACAAACTTATTAGTGTGTACTTATGAATTTTTTTTTTACGAATTTTATTGAAGAATGCATATATCAAAAAAACTAAAAAACAATGAAGGATTTCTGCTTTCACAGTAATTTGTATCCATGGCAACAAGTATCAAGACATTTTATTTGAAATCTACTAATATATTACAAACTGTCCTGCATCACAATCAAAGTATATATAGTTATAATGCAAGCATCTAGCGTATACCATATTTGCTGTAATAGAAGCATACTTTGAAGTAGTCAACACAAAAACATTAACAAGATGACATTTTGTCATGTGATGTTCTGTACACTTCTCGTATAACCAATTGAAACACTTACATGATCCTCCATTTAGAGATGCACTTGTATTAAAACAAATACAGTATATATTGCAAATGTTGGTATGAGATGAGTGTCGGATCTCATCATAGTATCTCTATACCTCTAAAGCACATAATCCCTGAGAAATGAACCTTGGCACTGTGTGAAACATGTGTTATAATCACCCCAGTTACTAAAATTGAAAATAGATGGAAGCTGCTAGGAGCTATTAATAGTTGGTAATCCTTGACTACATTGGATATTTACCAAGGACCACAATCACCAGCTACCACATTTGATTTTACCACACTATTCTCACATGCGGTAATAATTTTGTCCTTCTCATACTTAAGAAATATGTTATTTTAATTAACTGTATAAAGTAAATTTTTACACACTGTGCACTTCACATTCTGTTTAACTCAATAGAATATACAACTTAAAGTCATTCTGAAATATGCTTAAATGTGTTAGCTATGAATACAGAGAATAATAACATAATATATACCATATTTAAAAACCAAGACTAATATCAATATTTATACCCAGTTAATGTGGGGGATACAGTAGTACGCCTTGATTGTACTTGATGGAATATAAAAACGAATACAAATTTATATTATGAATCTCCGACAGTCAAAGCCAGGAATGATATCACAATATATACCATATTTCTTCAATTCGAAACCATGTCCCCACATTTGCATAAATGTTCTTGTCTTTGGACCACTAAAAGAAGTCTGGTCAGTCAAACAAACTTTTGACTTTTACCCTATAAACTGTACCTTCTATACTTGTCTGTGGTTGCACATGAACTTCTAATTGAGCAAATACCGGTATGTTTGTTGTGATTAATTCACTCTACATATTAATACTAGTATCCTAATTTTTCACAATGCTAATGACACTAGAGTTTTATTTGTTTATTTTATTTGAAAGATAATTCAGTATCTCCACTCAACTTTCCTTCACTTACAATGCTCTGTTTTTTTTGTGAAATGTATAAACGAAAATAAGCACTGTCCATTGCGCTGCACACAATTTTTATCAGAAGTATTTATAATATTATAATCTAAACAGCATTTTAACATCACCTCTCAACCTTTTCCACCTATGCTTTTTGGTATGACCCAGTAATTTCTATATATGGTTGGTCGTCTCATTTTAACAAACAGGGGTGAAAGGGTTGAAGTGAAACATTGTGTGCTAATGGCAATAATTATTCGTAACAGTGATGTATATTGTGTTGGTCTATGTTTAAATTACAGCAAAAAATAGTTCATTGAAAAACTCAATGCTAATATCCAGACATTTTTTTTTCTCTGTGTTCTTGCTTGTGCTCTGTCAACTTTTTGAGCAACAAAATCAACCATTTGTCACATTTCATAAATTAAAACACACATTTTTTTCATATTTTTCTGACAATTTTGGTCAAGATCGATAGCCTATGGAGAATTATTTCTATTTGATCCAAAACTAACAAAAGAAATCATATAAAAAAAGTTGCACCAAAATTAAGGTGGAGAAAAATTATGGCATTGAAATAATTTCAAAATTCTTTTCAATAATGTAAATGAAATGTGCATATTTAAAGTCCCAACTTGTGACAGATTTTAAAATTTCTTTTTTCTTCAATTTGTTATTCAATATACATAATAATGCACATTAAATCTAGATAATGTATATAAATTCTAACAAGGATTTGCTTGTAAGTAAGCGGTGCTGATTTCTTAATATGTGGCGGTTAAATGTTTCAATTCTGATCTTAACTGCTCTGCCCAAAGTACGGTCACAAATAACTTTATCTGGTGGAGGGGAGGTTTTTTAGCATTTCCTAGAGTGCAGTTTGAAAAGGTAAATTCAAGGGTCATGTGGTACTCATTATCATATATGTAAATAAGTGGTGTCTGATCAGGATTTAGTAACCTGAGCCCATTTATAGTTTCATCATCACTACAAACGTGTTGTTCTATCTGTTTGCATGAGATAATATTATTATTAAATTATAATGAATATCTAGTACATTGTATGTCCACTGATCTGTGCTATGATGAGCCAAAGTATTCAGATGAGCTGCTCCTTATACCGTACTCGACCGCCTGACCGGGCATGGACGCTAACGCAGTTGAGTACGGTAGTTGCTTTAATTTCATTATTTACAATACTCAAAATTGCACCTATTTGTACATGTAGAGGTAGACCTCCATATTTTATTCAGTGTTTTTATTGATGTATACATTTTAATGAACGTCCCTTTGTATTGTTTGTAGTGTGTTTTAGGTCTTATTTATTTATAGTTTTTGTAAAAATCCACAGTGCATTTTATATGTGCCACTTTATGTGTAAAATCACACTATATAGACTATAAAAGAATACAAGCGATAGACTTGATTGTTTTCTCTCTGTGATAATCCTCGATTGAGAATTAACATTTCGTGTTATCTGGCAACATCCGCTGATTATACCCCGTAGTTTCATATTCTCAGTCTTTTTGGTGTCTGTTTAGAAAGATTTCGCTATTTTCAGTTCTAATCTTAACTTTTATGAGTTTTGCACGATAATAAAACTTTCTAAGAATTTATTCTTAGACTATAGTTAGGTGATTTACTGCAAAGATTTAGTGAAAGTTAATTTGTGCCATGTAAAAGTTGGAGCAATATACCTGGGGATATCAGCCATTGACGTCATCATGCCACTTCTGATGTAAGCTTCTTATTGCATCGTAGCTTGTGGTAGGTCATAGTTCACACTTGATTGTGTATATTTTTATAGTCTATATGGTGTATATGATTTCAAATATTTTTGTCTTAAATTGCTATCACTTTCAGATTTTTTTTCAAAATTTTGCTGTTTTTATATTTCCAGTGTTATCAGCTTTCAAAAACATGTGTTACTTTTTAACTCACCTTGATGCACATTCACATAGCGTTTACTTAAATATTTACACCAAAAAAAAAGCCAGTATTTGCATTTGCTGTTTTAATATTTATTAAAAAAAAAATAGTGTCACATTTCTAGCACGTTTAATGACTACCGAATATCTCACTCTATTTACGTTTTCTGTTCATAATGTATTCAATTTTGAAATATGTACTGATGAAATCAATTTTAAAAGTAATGTGCATTTGTCATCTTTTTTTTTATCTTCGTGTATTTTTAAAGTTCACTGATGTTCATGCTGAAATCGATCGTTTCTCATTACTGTACGAAAAACGCCTGAAGAGAGTTCTCGAGAATGTAATTTTTAAAACTTACAAATTTGTAATGACCCGTTTCCATGGAAACCTGTGTCGCAGTATTCTTTCAACCTCATTTGTTGCTGTACGGTACATGCGTCATAATATCAGTGAGAACAGAATAATAAGCATGTGTATCCAAACAGAAAAAATGTGTTAATATTATTTCAAAAGAATGAGAAAAGGAGGATGAAATTTGGGTGGTCTTTGATGGTCAACAACATTTGTAATTGCGTATGGCCTTAACTTGTATTGACTTAAGTTTACTGACAGTATTCCTGTCAAAGATAAAATGATTAATTATTAATATTGAACATTATTGTTCAGGTCATTTTACACATTGATTTATTTTAATAATGTATCCCTTAATTTTTACAATAACATTGTCTCATTAGAGTTGCACATATTCTAATAAGGTATACCTATAGCTTCATTTTGTTTTTGTAATTGGAAGTATTGAATTGTGGGAAATATGAAAGTTGCCGATCATTTCAGCTCCTCAATTGATTGCTTTTTACAAAAAGGTTCACTTCTGTTCCAAATTGCTGTGGACCACAGTAATTCAAAGCAAGGGAGAATCTTTGTATATTTCCAGGAAATTTCACATATTCATACCACATGTTACAAGCAATCTAAAGAATAGGAATGGTCATAAAGTGCTATTATCACTGTTGTCAATTCAGGTAAATTGAACTAATTTAGCTGAAATGGCATACAGTTTAATAGTAGCTTTTAATTAATGAAATTTACAGAATCTATTATCAGGTTTCAGTCCTCAACAAATTCATTTTTAATCTGTATATCTGTTACTATAGCTGCGGCTTCTTCTATTAAATGGTACAATGTAACAGAGGAGGTACGGATTTTATGAGAACATTTACCCATATGAAAAATGGTGAATTTTGCGTTCTCAATTGTTTATAAAGAATAGGAATCATTTTGACATTATTTCTAAATTCTGCCACCCCTCCCCCCCAAAAAAAGACCTCCAAAATGTATTCTGGTTTACTCGGTCGAACTTGTGCTATGTGTATTGTGAACATGTATGAATTGGTCCTGTATCTCGCTTCATTGTGTCAGTACTCAGTAGTGCACAGTGTCATAATCCACACATGTGATATGTTTGACTGAAGATCGTTGCCGTTCTGGTAATTGAACAGGAGTCTTACTATATGAAATAGGTTGAGGAATCTGTTTTAACAGCTTCCAGTCTTTTGATTAGTCTGAAATTGATTGAATCTGCATTGAGATAACATGAAACTTTTTTTTTTTTTTATTACACTACAACTGAAATTTTTCATTTTTAATTTATATGCATAAATAATATACACACTAATGACTTACTGATCAAAATGGTCACAACTTAGACCAAACTCTAAAATGTATTAAGAGAAGTGGGGTTAAAAAGCATGTACAATTGCATGTCAGTAATAGACTTGTACTTTCCATTCCATCGCATTGAGTGTATAACGCTTGGAAGCCATAGTTCACAGAATTCTATCGCTGTAAATCTAGTCAATAATAATAATGCTGGGTTTACTCAAAATAAAATAAAGACAATGTTTAGATGTCAAATGGTGTTTACCATTTCACATGTATTTGATTGTTCCTATCATGGTCACTAAAACTGTATTTCTACATATGGTTTCTGATGAAGCATTATTATAACAATTTATTTTTTGGTTTATGGATTCTGACCTTATGTTGACCATATAAAGGAGAATAATCCTCTTTTAAGTATAAAACACATTGTGACAGGTCTGTTGACAATGTATCCCCTATCAAAATAAATAAAAATAAAACAATCAAGTTATTACAGGTTGGTATATGTGCATGCTACCACTGCAATGTCATGTTCCTTCCATGATATACCAGTAGTTTTGATTTTAATATTTAGATTGTAGTTAATACTTTCTGTAGAATTTTTCAAAAATTATATATATTATAAAGTCTCTGTATATCCCTCTATATATGTATAATGTTGTAATAGTGAATAAATTGTCAATGTGGTAAAGCTGGTGTATTTCTTTCCCTAATAGTAATAAATGGGTAGATTACATACCTTTCAGCAATTTCTAGTATGCATGCTCTGAACTACCTGGTCAACACCTACACTTGTGTCATTTATTAAGAGACTAGCTGGCATCAGTAACCCCCCCCCCCCCCCAATTCTTTTTGCAGTGTTTGTAAAATTTAAAGGGCAGTTGTCATCATGCAGCACGTGTTCGAATTTCATGTAAACAAACAACGTATTTTACATGCGTTGTATACGTTGCTAGAGT